TGGTCGACCGACTCACCAAGTTCGCCATGTTTTTGCCTTGTCGCTATCATGCCAAGGCACCGGAGTTGGCCGAGCTTCTCTACGCCGGTTGGATTCAAACCAAGGGTTACCCCAAGGAGATCGTCTGTGACCGCGACACCCGGTTCATGTCCGATTTTTGGTTGGCACTCATCAAGCGATGGGGCTCATCTCTCAAGCCCAGTTCAACTCGCCACCCTCAGACCGATGGCCAAATGGAGAGGGCGCACCAGACCGCACAGGTTCTCCTTCGCACTCTCATTTGTCCTGACCAGAAGGACTGGGTTGAGCGGCTACCGGATGTCGAGTTGGCCTACAACTCTTCCATCCACCCAGCTATCGAGATATCGCCTTTCGAGTTCGAGCACAGCTCGCTGGTCACTTCACCGTTGGACACTATTACTCCACGGACGACCGAGAGCGACGACCATCTTCTTTTCTTGCGTCGGATGCAAGAGCTTCTTGTCAAGGCATGCGACCGGATGGCTAAGACGCAGCAGCGCATGAGCCAGCATGCAAATCGCCAGCGTCTTCCTTGCCCATTCTGCGTCGGCGACCTCGTATGTGTGTCCGCAGTGGAATTCAGCCTTGAACAAGACATCTCTCGCAAGCTCCTCCCGAAATGGATGGGGCCTTGGCCGATCGTGGCACCCGCTGGGTACGCACCTGAGGGACCTTCCTTCACGATTCAGGTGCCCGCCCACTTGTCCGTCTACCCAGTCTTTCATTGCTCCAAGTTGGCTCTTTACACGCCAGCGGAACATGACGATTTTCCCGGGAGACGTTCGCAAGACCCACCCTCCATGGATGGCTTTCAGGAGGTCGGCGACATCATCTCCCAACGATGCTACGACAACAGGCCAACCGAGTACTTAGTGCATTTTGCATACTGCACACACCGAGCTGATTGTTGGTTGACCCGTGCGGAACTTCAAGCAACAGCTCCAGACGTTCTCGCACGCTACGAACGTGAGATACAAGGCAAGCCGGTTTCTTCGGTTCCACGCCACGCCCGCGTCCAGGTTCCACCTTCAGATCGTCGGCTCCGCCCTCGCCCCGGCTTGACTTCATAAGTAGGGGGGGGTGTTACATGCTGCGCCTGCACACGAGGGCCATTTTCCAGGCCCTGCGTCCCACAGGCTGAAAGCCCGAAATTCAGGCTAAAAGCCTGAAAACCAGGGCCTACAGGCCCCGTAACTGTTTAGCCCGAAAGCCTGAAAACAGGGGCCTACAGTCCCTGTGTCGCTTCAGACTAAAAATGGCAATAACCTTTTTAGCCTGAAACGAAGGGCCATTTTTGGTCGTTCATCAGAACGACCGGCCCTGAAACTCAGGCACCGAACCAAGGTTTCGAGAACAGGCTATTCTTAGCCTGTTCCCCACGCCAGCCTCACCAGCTGCTGCAGCCAGCCCCTAGCACACTTCGGCATTGGCAAGAGCAGCCTCCTCGGCCTGGCTCGCCCTTCAGGCAGTCAGGAGGCAGGCCGAGGTAGTACATAGGGACTTCTCATACACTTCACGGGCAGGCAGGGGGCAGTAGTAGTCTTCAGGATTCGGTCGCAGCACTCAGGAGGGAGTGTTGCAGGAGTAGTAGTAGCGTGAGCCTTGAGTCTTCAACACTGGTGCAGTAGGTAGCTGTAGTCTCCAGCGCTGGGCGCCATAGCTAGGATAGCACTAGAGAGAGAGAGATTGGGCGGAGGCCAGAGGTACTTACCTGCAGCGCCGTTGCTCCAGCTTCGTCTTCGAGGTACCTACAACACAGCGCCAACATCACAGGTTAGTTCCTGGCTCGTAACAGAGAGAGAGAGAGTTCTTCTTCTTCCTCTTCTCAGTCCACCATCTCCCTCTCACCCTCTCATCATCTGACTTCACTGCATTTGCAGACTACGAGAGAAGAGAGAAAGAGCTTGGTGACATTGGATCCATACTCGACTTTTGGACGTTAGACATTGCAACGTGGGATTATCCGGGACTTGTGACAAAGACTTGGTGTTGACGACATTCCCATCTCTCCCTATCCTCTTCGTCTGATTCCCTCCTCTTCTGTTGTGTATGCCTGGACCTGGCACTTTCTTCCTGTGAACAGCGCCAGACTCCTTCACGCCTGGTGATGGATACGATGTATGTTTGGTCTGCGTTCAAACATTGATTGGGCTAGTCATCGACATTCTAGCATTCTGCTTCGCTATCTGATACTATGTGAATGAGGTCAGTCCCGGTCAGGTAAGGATTTGTATCTAAGTCTTCCCTGCGCTATTCAGCACCATTTTGTATGTATTAGAATGCACATTGCTTGTCGAGATTCTACTTGCGCTGCATTGTCCATTCAGTCCTTTTCATCACATTGCAGATCCTCGGTTTCCATGTACATCGCCCAACTGGGCATGTAACAGTTGGTATCGGAATGTCGGCACGTGAATCAAGACAACCTGATCTGACACGTGTGCGGGGACTAGATAGCTGATTAGTCTTTATTGATTGATTAGAGCACACTAGTTAGACCCCAAAATCACGATTTTGACCTTACTGCCGAAAATCGAATTTTTTTTTCTTTTCTTTTCTTGGATTTTGATTTCTCGCTATTCTGTTGTGGAAAATCGTAAAAGCGCAACATCTGAAATTCCATTCGAAATTTCGTTGTTGAAAATCCGGAATATTCTTCTTTTCGAAAATTTCGATTTCGAGTTGCATTTCCCGTTACTTGTTACGATCCTGGTCATTTCCCAAGTGCAAATTCA